TGCCCTGAAATTCACAAGGCAAGGCTTAATAGAAACAAATATTTTGGCATGAAGCATCCAAACTCCTGGTTTTACAAACACAATAACTTTGGATAAACATTATAAATAAAGCTTTAGAGAGGATAGAAAAAGCAGCAACAGACAATAACACAACTTAAACACTTTCATTATTTAGTTATCTTCTATATTACTTTGTACTTAAAATTTAGTTATTGTTTTCAGTTTTCTTGTAGTTATGTAGTTTTGTAACTTTTCACCATTAATCAAGCTCCTCCCTTCTTATTATTTATTGCATCTTTGCATATAAGCAAAATAAGATAAGAGAGCTCGGGAGCTCTATTTATATTGAGACTCTTCATTTTTTATATGCTTAAAAATTTACCATCAGCAAAAACAAAAATTTTCTTCTGAAAATACATATATTTTGAAATGAAGGAAATATTTACTTGTCCTCGGGATAATTACACTTGATATTACTTAAATAAACAAAATCGAAAATCTAGAGACTTGATTAGTAAAAGAAGTGGTTAGGGAATGAGGGGGAGCGTACGTGGCCGGATAATGCCAGTGCCAGCTGCAAGTAATGGAGGACGTTGACATAGCTCAAAATGCACAATTCTCTCGTAGTTTAAGTTCCAGATCTTTCTTTTTTTTCTTAGTTTAGACTTTAAACTTTTATCACTCGTTTGAATTTTAGTTAAATATAATTAATTATAAAAATTAATTAATATAATTAATTATGTTATAATTTGGATATTATTTTTTTTGAAATTGATTTAACAGAAATAGAGATATTTGGATGATTTAATCAGAATTAATTTTAAGTGCGTTATCAAAAAGAATATTGTTTTTAAAAATCAAAACATTGATACACTTTTATATAATATTATTAAATTTATTTAACTTTATTTGACAAGTAAAATAAAATATATTATTTAATTTATATACCTAATTAATTATATAAATGTAAATTTAAGTTAAAGTGTACTTTTAGTCATTTAAATTTTATATATATTTTTATTTTGATCCATTAATTTTATAAAGTGTTTTTATGATCTTTCAATTCTAATATTGTTAGTTTCATTATATTGTAATATTAATAATTTAATGTGTGTAAAAAATAAATAAATAAATATAAATTCAAATAAATTTAATAAAAGAAGATTATATAATTCTTAAATTTATTATGCTTAATTTATGTAAAGCAAATAGAATTTTTTTTTCGTGGCAGTTAATTAGCAAACAAGTTATTCCAATTTATTTTAATTGAAATGTTATGGGAGGCTTCTTTTTTTTTTTGAAGTGAGAATTTAACTATAGAAATATAAAAGCTACTCCCAAGTTTAATTCAAGAGTAACGGATCTAAAGATTAAATGTAAACAAGCGAGCTGGAGATTAAGAATATAAACAATGGAAAGCAAGACACCGAGTACATGCAAGGGTGGCGGTATATTTGGACAGCTGACATTTCTGACAAATAATAAATGAGAGTATAAGTAAGATTGAAATTTCTAAGCTACTTCAAGCAAGCAGCCCAATGGAAAATGAATTTTGGCTTCTAATAATTGATTATGAAGCAATGGAGGAGTTTAGCAAAACCGTGATTTTATTCATATAATTGCTTGTAACTTAATATCGTAACAAGTACTTAATTCTTTCCCACATATCACTCCACCTTTACCATTTGAGTTAGCTTCAAGGTGCTTATTAAAGCTCCAAATTTGTTGTTCATGCCTAGCATTACCATTTTTATATATTCTAATTAGGGAAATCTGCAACCAAAATATTAAAAAGAGAAAATGATGGTGTCACCAATCATCCATTAGGACACGTATTCTTTTAAGTATCAATAGACTTATTATCCTCGCAAAAAGTGAAAGGAATTGAGAACCCATCATTAGATGTTACATAATCTACAATTGTTTGAGACTACATCCTCCACAAAACCATTCCCTGATGAGATCAGGTTTGAAGTTTTGCACAGAATTTATCAAGGTCAAGTAATCACTTTTAAATATAACCTTTTCATTGCCCAAGTTTGCATCTTGAACAATTGTAAATAATCGTAAACATTCATTTGTTATTCCTACAAATTTTTATGTTAGTTACATAAATATTTTCTTCAGCAATTGCATTATAATAAAGTTAATGACTCATCTTGTTAATCTTTTCTTCTTGTCCTTAACGTCAATTTTATATCTCAATAACTTAAATTTTTTATTTTTCTTGTAACAACACATGTATTTAAACTCAAAATTTTTTTTCAATCAAGCCTGCAAACCTTAAATGTGTCTACAATGTCAATATGCATTATTTAAGCTGTATTTTATAATCTCGGTAGCTTTTTTTTGACACTTAAAATTCATGAAATATTTATAAAAGTACTTATATATTATTTATCGGCAAAATTCTTACATCAACAAACAAGACTTGAACCTAAACACAGACTCTCATAGAACATTACTTCGCATCAAACTATAAGCAAATTTGAATCAACTCACACAATTTTAAAAAAAATTAATTAAGCATAATAATTATGTTTAAAATTAAAAATGGATACTGGAATTTTTAGTCCCTTAAAGTTGCCTCAACTCCTAATTATCTATGTGGTTTCTTAAATTTAATTTTTATTAATTTGATCTTTATTATTTAAAAATAAAGTAATAATATTAAAATCTATTGGAATAAACAATAGAATATTGATGGTAACTATGTGAATCAATAAAAAAAAAGTGTAATTATAATTGGGAAAAGAATAGACACAAATTAAAAAAACAAAAACAAAAGAACAAAACACAGCTTAAAGAATTAGATCAATAAAAATTAAATTAACTTGAGAAATAATTTATTCTCATTTGACTATATATATATGTGTCAAGCCATTAATATGCTTTATACATTATATTAATCTGAGAGTTAATTTATGCTTTAAAACTTAAAGTACAAACATGATAATTTAACGAAACGTAAAGGATCAAATTAATAAAAATTAAAGATGAGGAATTAAATTGATAATTAAAATAAATTTAAAAATTGAAAGTTTTATTATCCTTTAAAAAATTGTTTTAATGAATAAGTTTGTCTCATAAAACTAAAATTTGATCTTACAAGGGAACAATTTAAAAAAAATATACTTCCTTTGTCCTAAATTATAAAATACTTTTGAAAAAAATTAGTATACCAAAATATAAAATATTTTGATAAGATTAAGATTTTATTAAAAAATTTTATTTTAATATTACCCTTTCTTTTTTCATTTAATTGTTGTCCCCCCCTTTTTTTTAATATATTAAATGAATGATGTTTTTAAAAGTTTATTATTTAAAAAAATAAAGTTGCTAACTATGAAACATCAATACTTCAAATTGCTCCACGTATCCATATCAGTATTGTAATCGATACCGATACTCATTGATACTTTTTTAATACATATCCGCAGAGGCACAAAGTATCAAAATATTATTTTTAATTTTAATTTTTTATTTTTTATACGTATCTGATATTTATAGACTGTGAGTTGGTAATTTGAAGCTAATACTTCAAGATTATTTAAAAAATTAACTTTTGTTCAATATTGCTATATTAATATTTTTTATGACTTATATATTTTTGTGATTTGCTTTTAAAATTAAAACTATATCTTCCTTAAAAAATAAGTTTTAGATATAATAAGAAGATAAAAATTATATTTTTTAGTTATAAAAATATAGGAATATAATCTTTTAGCATTTAAACCTTAGGTGAGGAATTATTAGCAAAGACCAGGAGATAGGCAATTAGGTATAGATAAAATAAAAATACAAGTAATCTTTATATTTTATCTGATATTATTTTGTTGGACTATATATATATACTCCCTCCATTCAAAAATATAAGTCAATTTTAATCGAATATCATTTCCTAATAAAGTAATTACCTACTTTTAAACTAATCATATCTTTTTATATTTATCCATATTAAACATTATACAATAAATATAAAGTCATTCATCAATCGAGGTATTTTTTTTAAAAAGGCAATGATTACACATCAAAAGATTAAAAATATCTTACATTTTTTAAGATTTAACTCCTCAAAAAATGTCTTATATTTTTTAACGGAAGTAATATATATTATATATATCCAATTTTTGATATTTTCTAAATTAAAATTATATTTTTATTATTTTTTATAAATATATAATTAAGTATAGATAGAATAAAAGTACAAGTAATGATTATATTTTTTTTGATATTATTTTATAAGGCTATATGTGTATACTATTTTGAATATTTTTTAAATTAATATTATATTTTTTATTTTTTTATTTTTTTTGAATATATATGTACATATCGAAAAGGTATCATATCCTATAATTTTAAAAAAGAAAGTATTGAAGTATCCAATACATATCATATTCGATGCACATATTAATATCCATGTATTATACTCCTTTTGTCTCTATATACAAAAATTCTTTTTAAATTTTTTTATCTCTAAATATAAGGGGTTGCTAGTATATTTTTAATGAATGGACCACTATATCTTTATTAAATTAAAAAAAAATAAATACTCTCATTAATTTAATTTAAAAAAAAATTATTTTTATTTACGATAATTAAGGATAGAGTTAAAATTTTGTTGTGTTTTCAAATTAAATAATTAAATTTTATTAATTTGCGTGATTCAATTAAAAATATCTTATATATAGGGATGGAGGGAATAGGTTGTTAAGTGTATTTAATAAATAAAACCTATAAACATGTAAGAATTTGTATAAAATTATTTTATAATTTAAAATGAAGGGAGTAATTAATGTTTCTTGAATTTTATATATATATATTTTTTAAAAACAATGAAATATAGATCTCACAACCAATGGCTCGGCAAGTCTGCAGGAACGCATGGGCTCAATTGGATAGACCCAGTTCTGATTGTTAAGCAAACCGATAATTAGTGTATTGGCCATTACTATTAGGTCCATTTGCACAATCAAACCGAAGTGAGTAAACGACGTACGGGAAATGAATAAAAGCGAGTTGGAGTGGGACGTCACAGTGGGCATTTTTCATTACAGACAGCTCATTAATGGGAACACACTGACTCCTTCAATATCAAATCCCAGAGGTGAATCTCGCAATCATCTCAGCAGGTTAGATAGATCTCACTTCCCCGGAAATATGTCACGCCGATCCGGAGCTTGCCTGCGGTGTTGCTTGGTGGTTTTCGCGGTGGCTTCTGCTTTGGCCGTGTGTGGCCCTGCTCTGTACTGGAGATTCAAGAACACTATCAACCTTCGCAATTCCAAACTCTCTTGCCCTCCTTGCGTTTGTGACTGCCCTCCTCCCTTGTCCCTCCTCCAGATTGCTCCTGGTAAGGGCTTTCTCTTTCCATTTCTTCATCTTTTCTGTTGATTTGTGGGAAATCTAGTTCCGCGGTTTGATCTGTTGTTTTTCAATAGTCCTTCGGCAGTGGAATCTGGTTCCAGAGATGTTCATCGGTTGGTCGGGTTCTGGGATTTGCTAAAAACCGACAAAAAAAATCCTTTTAAAAAAAAAAATCTGGAGTTTTAGCATTTATACTATTGTTATGACCGGTTATGGGTTCACAGATTTTTCTTTGCTTGATAATTGTGATTGTTACTATGAACAAATGAGATTCCGTTGACCAATATGTCTGAGTGAAAGTGGAGCAGTTTGCCCATTTAGAAATCATGATCTAAGATTCTTTTTTGATTAATTATAAGAAAGGATATGCATTTCTGTGGTTCGGTCACTGAAACTTAATCTGGGGTATCTGCTCTGTGTTTCTCTCCCCCACCTCCCTAGTCACTCTCAAGCTGCACTTGGACCTTACTTGCTTTAAACGTGCTCTCCAACTTACAGCGTTTTCTTATCCTTTTCTAGGTCAAATTACCTGACATTAATTATGAAATAAAAACTCTGCATCATGTTGGTCCACCTGGTGAATTTACAATGTTATGAGTTCTTATTAGTTGTGTCTCAAATCTTAAATAATTGAAGTTTGAAATATGTTTTTTTTTTCCGGCACTATAGATGATTTGGAAATTCCCCCATGCTTGTGTTACCAAATGAAGGCTTCATTTCTTTAATTTACTAGCTTCTGCACCCCATTAGCTACTACTTTCTTTGTTTTTTTTTTAGAGTTCGATCCTCTATGTTTGCAAATTTATGACTCTCAATATAGAGATTAATTCAAACTTTGCCTTCAGTTATTACTTTGTTTAATACGTGTAAATTATTATAAATGTATGTGTCTAATTTAATTTTATGTTCTATTAAAGCTTCACTGCTGATCCGTACTGATTTATTTCTTTCATTTTTGTTCCTGCACAGGGCTGGCCAATCTCTCAGTCTCAGGTGAGAGTTCATTCTGGTGGCCCTAGAACTTGTCATTATCTTAAATATATACTTTTATGTAATTTCCGCATTACTAAGTTATCCAACCATGTGAACTCTGTCCTTCATTCCGCATGTCTCATGATCAATGAAGGCTATTTTAGCCTGCCAACCTGAGTTTTCACAGCTCGTCGGAAAAAGTCTTATGCTGTCACATATTATGGTTTGCTAATTAGTCCCGTTATGATATGAAATTCAGGATCTCTTGAAATGTTTACTAGTTGTTATGTCAGAAAGACATAAATTCCACACGTATTTGTTTGCGCAAATACTGAGATTTTGTGAAAATTTAGATGTGGGGCCTGGATTTGTCCATGAGGCGATTCTACCCCATGTCAGTTTTCGCACATAGAAATTTAGATTTGGGATGTTGTTACTTTGTCCATGAGGTGATGCTTCATACCGGTTCTTGTCAAATTTATGATTTTTTTAAGCAGTGTCGTGATTTGAGAGAGAGAGAGAGGTGCCACGGCTTATACAAGATCATGCGACCCATTCATCTGAAGAATGAGTTGTCTAAAGTTATAATCAAACTTGAAGTTAATTTCACTTCTCAAGACACATGAATGACTTCAACTTTGTTGCTCAACAGACTGTGGCAGTAATGATCCGGATCTCAAGCAGGAGATGGAGAAGCAGTTTGTGGACCTTCTCACAGAGGAGCTGAAGTTGCAAGAGGCTGTTGCTGGAGAGCACGCCCGGCATATGAACATTACTTTGGCTGAAGCAAAACGAGTGGCGTCCCAGTACCAGAGGGAAGCAGACAAATGTATTGCTGCAACTGAGACATGTGAACAGGCAAGAGAGCGGGCCGAGGCCATGCTCACCCGGGAGAGAAAGATGACTCTGATGTGGGAACGACGAGCACGTCAAGTGGGCTGGGAAGGAGAATAAATGTATGATTTCAGGTTATATTATACTAATTATTCTTATTATTTTTATACAAGCATGCAAGCAAATATCTTGAGTCTTTAACAGATTTAGGTTAAAAAAAAATTTGCCCTTATTCTGTTTTTGTAATTTTGCTGTCTTATTCTACCTTGTATCAATCAATTTTCATTACACTTGTAGCAATGCACAAACAGCAATATTTACCTTATTGCGATCTCCAACTATGATGTGGTCAGTGCATCTAATCTGGTAAAGGACTTGATTTTATTTATAGGTTTCCCTATGCTGCCAAGTACTTGAAATTAGGACTTGCTTTTCAATATATTGGCATGCTGTTGGATAATTTTTTACATATAATTCTTACTCTAGTTGACTGTGCAAGAAGCCAATTAAAATTCCTTCTTGTTTTTTAGTTTATAGAGTTGCGCATTCACTTCGTATGTTATATGTTATTGAGAATTTCTCTCCTCGTGGATGACAAGTCTATTAAAATACGCATAACTTTGGCACAAGAAAGACACTTTTCACTAACGTTCATGGAGGTATAAATAAGCACTGGCGATTAACTAGGTACAATAAAACCTCCTTGTTTACAAGAATCACCGTGCTACAAAAATATAAGCTTCTAACTCAGTTGAATATTAGTACAACTTGCAAGGAAATGCGAAACCATTTTTAAATGCATAATAATTTTGGATTGCAAGCCATATAACGTAAAGCATTCGTCTGTTTCAATTGTTAGCCTGACAGTTATGGTGGATGAGTGGGTTTGGTTATGACTTTGCTTAGTGTAATTGTATCAAACAAAAAGTCAGACATTTAACACGTTTTGAGGTTTCAACGATCATGCATTCACCCAACCAGATGTGGACTTGAATAATATATTCAAGTATTCTCTTTAATAGTTGTTTTTGTACCGAAATTTAGATCTAAATCCAATAACTATACCCATTAAATCGTCGTATGAGGAAGAATCCCATCTACATTCCGGTTTTGGTTTCTAAGAAGCTTCTGGGTGTAGTCAGGGATCGGCAGAAGAATCTTAAAGTGTAACTTCGAATTCAGATTCTCTCCTATATGAAAATAATACAATCCTCGTTTGTTTATGTTCTAGTTTATGGATGAGAGACGAAAGGGTACGATATGATTTTTGCGCTTGAGAAGACATGAATTCAAATAAAATCTCTAATATATATATATATATAGATGACAATTTTATTTTACTATTTTACTATTATATGACCAAGTTCTATGATTTTTCCTTTTCTTTTTCTTTTTTACCTTTAAAAATTCTTGATAAATAATATTTCATCCCCACACACACACACACAAAATCTTCAGACTTTATGTTAAATTTATTTAAAAATTTACCTTTAAAAATTCTCGATAAATAATATTTCATCCACACACACACACACAAAATCTTCAGGCTTTATGTTAAATTTATTATTTAAAAATAGCTACGAAAGCTCCAACTGAGAATTCCGGTGCAGCTATATAGAATAAGATAACATTAACCGTGTCCACAGTTGCAATAAGAAGTAAAACTCTAGTGGCAGGAGAAAAAAATTAGATACATTAGATCAGAGGAATTACATAATGATACAGACCCCAAAGAGGAGTGAGTTTTCTGATGCAGATGCTACTAGATTCTTGGAGATTCAGATACAAGATCCAATCGGGTAAGCATCGAATCGCGCCTCTCCATCCATCATTATCATCTCATTTTGCTCCTGCATTATATAGCCCTCATGAAACTAATACAGGAAAACAAATATATCCTCTTTCATAGCAGACAAAAACTGCATCAGAATTGCCAAACGCAGATTATGTTTATAAAAACGCGCGCGCGCACAGAAATCAAGTGCATATATCAAACTACAGAAGTATGCTCAAAAATATGATGTGGTAATGCTTCATAGGTCGATAACTTGATGGACAAACATTTTAGTCAAGAATTGCAGCAAGTCAATAAATCATACAATAAATTTACTTGAAAAAGTTTGACAGGATCAAGAAGAGCTCATGAAAGAAAAGGAAAACGAAGCCGGATATTTAATCATACCCGTTTAACCATTGCACCCATTATGTCATCTAAATATCCAATATCGCGAATGAAACCATCTTGGGACTTCATCTGCTCCATCATGTATGCATCAGTAGATTTCATTCTCACATCTGAAGAGAACCTCTCATCCTCGTTAAGCTGAGAGATTGATGGGGTAGCCACATAGAATTGGTCCATGAACGATGCATCCACCCTCCTGCTGCAAGTTGAATTATTTTGATTTAAACTCTGCCCCAAGGTACTTGTGACTTCATTAGAAGAAACCAGTGAATTCACAATATTGAAATTGCAGTTCATGTTTTGGTTGTAGTCCTGCTTATGCAGTTCCCAGTTCTGCCTTGACGCGTAACTTGAAGACTGAACCACATTCCCAATCAAACCATCTTGACTTTGTAGTTGACCTCTAAGATCATCCAGCGGAACAGCAGAGGAAAAATCCACTGCATTGTTTCTGATGTAAGTGTTGGAGGAAGAAACATTTAAGCTGCTAGAAGGCAGCTGATCATTAGTGAAAGTCTCATTTAGTGGCAAAGAATTAGAGGGAAATTTAGATAACTGAACAGCACCCTGCCAACTTTCATTGCATCGTGCATGGTCCAACAAATTGGAACCACAAATGTCTAGAGTTTCTGAGTTCAAAGGAGCAGCTCCAAAAGAAGATTGGTTTCTGAAATCTCCCACATTTTGAGATTGTTGTGAGCTTCCGGCTAACATCAAATGATTGCTTGAGACACACGGTACCGAATTGCTTGCACTACCAACAGTAGCTCTACTGTCTAGGAATCCAGCTGCAAAACCACCTGAATCATCCATTGAACTTAATTGCCTAATACCAGTGGCACAGTTGCTACGTTGAGATTGACTAAATTCTATTGGTGTTGGGATGCTTTGAAATAGACTTGAGTTTGCAGACAAGATAGATGATGGCTGAAGATTTCCAAGTGTGTTTGTGGCCAAGCTTGAGTTTTGAGACTGACCAGGCTGGATCAGTCCAGAAGAACCTATTCCTCTCAAGTTCAAACCAGTTGGAGAGTTCAGTCTACTTAAAATTCCAGTAGATGCAAATGTTGATGAGAGCCGTCCAGTGCCAGACAAGGAGCGAAATTCTCCATATCCTTCCAATGAACCCATCCGCAAGTATGATGAATCACCACCCAACGCAGCAACAATTTTAGCTTGTTGAGTTGCCTTTTTAAGATAGAGCCTGTATTTCTGTAACACGAAATGATAGTGAGCTGAAGTCAAATAAATATCAAGTATTGAATTCACTCAAAAGCTTGTTCTCATTTAACCTAGGAGCAAACACAAAATGAAAGATTGTAGAACTTATACCTGTAGATGGCTTGCCACATTTTCCCTTGTAAGCCCATCAACATTCATCAGGTCAAGAATTTTCTTCGGAACAGCCTCTGCAATAACAGGTGAATAAGCCTTAACCCTGTAAGTATAACAAATCATTATAGATATCAAACTGCTAACTTCTAAGAGCCAGGTCACATTAACTCACTTTCAAGACCAAGCTGATCAACTGCAGCAACAAATTTCCGGTGCAGCTCGACTGACCAAACGACACGCGGCTTCTTCTGTGTTGATGGGTCCTCCTCGTTCTCTTGTGCATTGTCTTCACCATCTTCTTCCTCATCCTCACCTTGGTCCTTCCTCCTTTTACCCAGCTTTTTACTTTGATCAGAATTATTTTCTGAAGTGTAGCCTGGATTTCCTTCCTCAGCCATATTGCTTGCCTTTTCCACCTGGGAAGCCTTATTCTGATCCTTGCCATCAAACTTCTTTCTTCGAACCACATGCTGCCATATGTTCTTAAGCTCTTCCAGTCTAACAGGTTTCAGTAAATAGTCACAAGCACCATGGGTAACACCCTTCATCACAAGCCTTGTATCACTATAAGCGGACAACACTGGATCAACATCCAAAGTCAGAACAGCAGGGTTCATGTCAGTCAAACAATTTATCCCTTAATTTGCAGAAAATCTCTCTCGTTATTTCAGCTGCAGTACATAATAATAACAGCAATGATGACAAAATTGAAGGTTTAAAACTGTCTTCAGTTACCAACCAAAAACATAAAGAAACACAAACAAATCTAAGTTTATGTCAAGGGTAAAATGTGATTGAGCTTACTGATGACTGGCAGGTCCATTTCAAGTCCCACTAGCTCAAGGAGCTTAAATCCATCCATGTCTGGCATACTTACATCACTAATGACGAGGTCAAACTTGTTTCTGTTTTCCCTCAACAGTTTCAAAGCCTTAACCGCCTGATTAGTTGTAGTAACTGCAACATTAACCATAAATCAAATTATCAGATAAGTCAATGGCTTCAAGGCCAAACAAGTCAAGGACTCAGAAAGTAGATCTACTAATCATAGCCTAGTCAGATAAGTGCCAATAGTTGTGATATTGATGTAACAGCGCAAAATTATGTCTGGGAGGAGAATTGAAATTTAAAGAAAAAAAATGTTACTTTCAGCAGAAATCATAACGGGCCCGTTAAGATTATTATTCAGAAAATATGGGACTCAAACTGGAAATCGATAATAGAGTGACCAAAGCTTCAAAAATAAAAAAACTTATAATTGAACGCTACTAATATATACAGAACATACAATGAAAACTGGAATTTGCTGGACGAAGAACAAAGAGATTTCAAATACGAACCCTGATACTCGCATTTGACAAGCAGAGTCTCCAATACTTTGAGACAAATTGGGTCGTCGTCAACAGCCAGAACACTCATGCCCACAGGAAACTTTTTTGTGGTCCCATTGTCATCACCCAAATTACAACTTTGGTCCACCGGAATCATCCTAAAAAGCCCAGATGAAAAATCAAACGCTAAAGCACAGATCACAATTCCCAGAGAAGCAAGTTTGAATCTTGATTATTATGCAAGGCTCTGTTTTCGCCAACAAAGGCAACAATTACAACCAAGCATAACAAGAAGAAAGTGAACGGAGAAACAGGAGAAAGGGTTTAGAAAGGAAGAAGAAAGAGAGGAGAGAATGTGAAAGGAAGCCAAGGGCAGAGAGCTGGAGAAATGGATACTGATGGCTATGGCCAGAAAAGAGCGAAGGGGTTGAACCCAACAAAACAAAACAGAAATCTTTTTAGTATTTTAGTGAAAG